TTTTATACAGCTTGATGGATTGCCAAAAATACCTGGGACTGATGTTCTCTTTCATCTGATTCTGGGCATTTTCAGATAACGATATCATCCGAGTGGGAAGTTGCTGGCTGGAATTCTGGCACTAGTTAGGAGGTAAATTTCTCCACATCTCGGAAACACCATATGGGATGAGAACATTTCTCACAACGGATGCTATCCATTCACGTGAAATCACTCTTCCTCAATTTTAAACCCACGGAAACGATTTACGTTTCATGTAAATATATGAATGATAACAGTCTGAATTATAGAATACAAACTGCGTGCCTGAAAGAAATGCTACTGAAATATACCCTCAGTAAACAACCCATATTCAATGATGCAATCTACAGCCAACAAAATGAGATTGTTTTTAGGCCGATGAAAAGTTCAGACGTAAAATATAGACTGCAGTTCTCAATGACTAGCTACCTAGATGCGATTTACACTAGGAAACACCATCCGCAGAAAAGGAAATGGGTTACTTCCGGGTGTATGTGTGGTACATATTTTGTAGCCTCTCAAAATGAAGTGTGACATCAACAAACTATAGTTTTCAACTGAATTTACGTTATATGTGGGATACTTCCGTTATCCGAAATTGTAAATGTGAATTGGATAATGTGCTGAAATAAAATGCACTTCTGAATTGGAAAGCAGATCTCAAACTCATCATCAGTACAGAACTATTAAGAAGTATTGACTGAATTTTACTGAGATCAATTTACAGGAAGTTCATATCGAGTCATCACTTGATAAGTTTCGAAACTTGATTGCCCAATGGTCACAAAAAAACTAATTATACCTCTGGCAACTCGCATCCAATTTATTTAAAGTCCTAACTTTCTGGAATGACGAACCATCCATCTAAGAAAAACCCTGACTGATAATGGAATGGGTCTCTGCCAATTTTCAAAGATGAAAGTAGTGGTCCTAAATCTCAGAACACTACCTACTTTACGCATCGAAAAAGATTTTGTACAAAAACATGAAATTTAATGGTGTTTCAGCTTATAGAATTTTTAGGAGGATAATTAGGAATTTGATGGGGAAATTTTCCTAATATTCTCCAGTTTTCTCATACTTTCTAGCAAATTTAAGAACTAACTCTGTATTTATATCACTATCGAGAGACAGGTCGCTCAAAGTGACGTCAACCCAGAAGGGTTCAAGAAAAATATTCTGCTTATAAACTTCAGGATCAAAATTTGACCTGATATAGTTGAATAAGTCGAGCGTAAGGTAAATGAATAATAAAGGAAATACAATGCAAAATCCCAGCTAGGTAGAAAAATAAGTGTCCGATGTTTCGCAACCTCTTGAAGGTCGCTTCTTCAGAAAATAAATCCCGTACAGGTTATCTCATCCATAATATTTTTCCGCCACCTTCACATGTGTGTACATATTCAAATTTCCACCTTGAACTCATGGAGTGATAACTGATAACGATAACATTTATTCCTATATTATTAAGAAATATGAATAGCATGATTTGATTTCTCACCATTTAATATTTAAAAATGCGATAAAACCAACCAACTAACATCTATCAAAGTGCACCACGATAGCGAACCTCCTGGATTAGTGATCGTATTCCAAAATGATTGATGGAGTTCGGTCAGCATTTAAGACTAGACAACATGAAGTTGCTTACTCTGCTGTGACCAACTACCTCACTGAGTGATACGGGTTTGAGTCACAGATAGGACATACGCTCCACTGAGGCTGCAGACTAGCCTTTCTGACGAGCTATAACAAGTAAGAAACCTAAGCTACGCACGGCTTCCTCCCAACTCGTTCTAACCAAATATCACGACTGTATCATTCTTATCCCTTTTATATTTGAAACTGTTTCAAGTAAAGGTTCTTTCATAAACAGGGACGCTAGCTTCAATATAATATACTGAATATGACTGTCATGCATAAAACGTTTTCATTTGTTCAATAGAATAATATTGTTCTAAGAGTTGATTCAACAATTTGGATTCAGTGTTCTCAATCCAAATCTAACTGAATTAGGGAGGGGGAGCATCATATTGATTCTCGTTTGACTATCTGAGATAGTCGTGATTTTGAAGTCTAGTATTTATACTAGGTTTGACCTAAAAAAGACAATGTTTTAACTTTCTCAACAATTTCATCCATTTCCACCAGTTTTGATCACCCTCATGCTACATCTATCTGTGTTTATCCTCCATCTCGATGAATACATATTTGTCAACTTTATGAAAGTACTTTGCATATTTTGTTTTCTATCATATCACTTATGCTTCATAGCTTGAAGAACAGTTGATGAAAACCAACGAAATAAATGAATTCATATTCTGTTACTGGTCAACCTTTTGCTCCACTCAAACCATATGAACTCATTAACAGTCAAAGTTATCAGCTAAAGTTTCCTATCCAACTTGTATTACATTCAAAACAGACCTAGTAAGCTGAAAGATTACTTATTGTTTTGATCCATATTCATTTCGACATCCTTTCTCTAGTGAAGTGAGGATGAGCCTGAGTAATTTGATAAGAAGGAAATTTTGGAAATATTTCAAAGATGTTTTCGTTCAACACTATACATAAAAAGGTGATTGGCATCCTACAACAAAAATGATCATTAGAATCACTTTTCCTACTACCTATAGATGATCAAAACTCTCTTATCCACTCTGTGAATGGTCTATCAGCGTTATAATCTTTTATGGAATTTTAGTCTCTGTAAAGCTTTACATGGGATGAATATTTTTTTGAAAATGGCAGTGATTCCGTAATAGATGCCTTGATAACCGCTTTAAGCTTTGATTCATATTTATTTATATCTAATGGTTGCGGAGAAATGATAACTTTTTTCAGAAAATAATCATCTAAATAAGTAGGTTGCTCTCTTCTTTTCATCAATCAGGGTTTGTGAAATACCAAAACATTCTTATGTAATGACATGAGACATACTGTTCTTATTGGAATTGTACACCATAGTTTATCGTGAATTTTTAGTGTCAACTCACACAAATCCACAATTATTGACGGTCTCAATAAAAATATACTTTATTAATTCCCATTGTAACATCAAGAACAAGATATTCAGCGAAAAGAATCTTTTCAACGAATTTATTCTCAAGCTGTTCATTCGCACATACATGACATTTGGAAAATTATATCTTGTGAGAAAAACTAAACACCATATGATGATGACAATAATAATAAAACGGATGATGACATAGGTATTTGTGATTATGATGACAGTTGAAGTATAAATGACATAATATTGAAGTTTTGCAATGGTTAGTGAGAGTTCTATCTTAGAATCAGGATGCCTTTACTGCATAAGATATACAGGCTTATAAAGTTACCTAGTATAATAATGACGATGACCGATTATCAAAGTTTGGAAAACGCTGAATATTCTGGTGCATGCTACCCACATCTATCCAAATTAATTATGAAATACAAAAGTTGAACAAAAGAGCGTTAAAAGTTCCAGTCTACCTACAAAACATGACGTGTTGGTGAACAACATAGGTTTCAGTAAATTTATCAAAGTATTTAAGGCAATCAGTGGAATTATACTCCGTTACAGCATCTAAATTTTCCCATTATATTAATTCTTGCATTTAGAATTTAGATATTGGTTATTTTCTTTTTCAACTCATTATTAGACTCGGGAAGCTGATGAAGGTGGAGTAAGAAAGGGATGACCAAGATAATCAAAATATCACTTTAGTAATTTTTGATTGATAATTGATAGCTAACTGACAGAAACAGATAAAAAGATATGAACCTTATCGATTACTGATAAGGTCATTCATCTGTAAACTAAGGTAACGTTCAGGTTACAAATAGAATCAAGATGCCTTAGTTGATATGAGTAGTATTTCGCATATGTCATCAAAATATCAGTTAACACATATTAATTTTGCTCACACTTCATTTCGTTCATGCATCCCATGGATTACCATAGATTTCTGAATTATTACTATTACCATATCGCGTAAACCAGTGATTTTACTCTCTGTTTTCCAAAACCTATCACTTCATCATAATAGACTTCACGATTAGCAATGAGTAATCTGGTAAACTGATGAAGTGTTTTTTAACATCTTCACATTCTTTATTTTCATGGATTCTAAAATCAGTATCTTGGATATATTGCGGTGCATAGCAGCTAGACCTTCAGCTGTACGCAGATGTTATCAAATGCATTAAATAGACTGGTCTTATTTCTGTTAATCCTTGTAGTTCATAAATTGAAGCAAACTTTGTTGGTTAATATATTTTCAGTGTTCTGGTATAAATTGTTAGAAAGTGCATCGAAAGTATTAGTTCAGATATACAACATTGTCTAAGACTCGAAATCAAGCGGATAATTGTTGAAGAACTAAAAGTATATAGTCCTGCGTGTACACATTTATGAGTAGACATCTGCCTGATTTTTACTCATCTGTTTCGGTTCGTATATATAAAAACGATGAAATCCCAGTGTCATAATGGTTTGCTACTGGTTCTTGCATAAAACAATCTTTCATATAAACAGTTAGTTAGCTGCTACAAAAAAATGAGTAATTTCGTCATTCATTTCATGAAGCTTTGATTCCACATTGACTGATGAACAGTTTAGTATGTTTTTGCTAGCTAATGAGATTCCGAAGAGCCTTTGTGATATCCAATCTGTATATAGTTTGAAGAAAGTATGCAATAAATTTCTGTTCTGTTGAATGGAAACAATCAACAGGATATTCTTCTTATATTCAGCATAGTATTAGCAATGGCTAGATGGCTTAGCAGCTGTATTAAGTATTGTAAGAAATCTTACATTATTATAAAGTTGCGAATAAAATATGCAGAAATTTCAATGAATATTTACACGACCATCAGCTGCAAACAAAAAATTATGAGAACCGCTCAGAATTCATCATCTAATCACAGTGAAAAGTAGAAACAATATTTAGAAGCAATAAGCTTCAAAGATGAGCTATACATTAGTGACTGTAACAGTTTCCAAGCATTACACTTTCTATTCTACTGAACTTGATAATTTTTTATCAGGATAATGAGAGGATGAAATTAAAAAAGTAGAAAAAGAATGAAAACGATGGGATAATCTTGTTGAATTGAAATTGATTTGTTTGAAACATTTCAGATAAATAAAGAAATCAATTAATTCACGTACAGAATTTAAATACCATAGAAAATTGCCTAAATGATAAAAGATATAAGTGTCCAAATGGATCAGTTGTATACTTCCCATTCGGTTGATTATATGAAACGCTGCTTGTGGAAAAGAAATGACTATGAATGATATGGATGATGTTAAGAGAAGTATTGAATTGCGTAGATTTCTGCGTTCCAAATTACTTAATTTAGTCACCACACGTCTTTGTAAATATTTACGGATTTTGAATATGAATACTGAATCGAGAAAAATGATGACTACAGTTTGTAAAGGTCCTAAATTTGAAAATAGTGTATGATATGCATGAAGGAACCTTACATCAGGATCAATCCAACATCTCCTCCGTGTACCTAACATGAACCATCCTGTTGTTATCACGAATGGTAGCATCATTAGTGCACTGAACATGATGACAACAATGTACACATACCATGTATATTGATTAGGCCAATTCTTGTATCTCGTTGGCACAAAGATAGCGAGACATCTGTTCATGGAGGCGCACACTCTCATGTTACACATCAGTGTGGATGAAAATGAATACATGAAATAGAAGAAACGACATGCACTTGATGAAGTGTAAAGTAGAGAGAAGAATATTTTTTGTTTGCTGGCATACGGTAATCCTTTAGCTGGGAAATGCCATAACCATGAGAACATGATGTTGGCGATGGAACTGGATAAGCAGATGCCTGAAATATATATCATGTGCTTAGTTGCTTTTATTCTTTTCAGTATAATTGATACGCCAATGAACAGGTTGAATAATACAGCGAAGCCACTGAAAATTGGTAATAAATATGCACTCCATACACCAATCAATATGGATACATTACACTTTGCATTTTGTAAAGAAGACCAATTACTTTTCTTCAATAACTCACACTGTTCGAATACTTCAGCTGGAGTCTCAGAAAATCCTATTTCATATGGTAGCGTTGACATGGAAAAAACTCGTTATTCAACACTCATGAATGCAAGACGCAAATACTCTAAGACAATTACATTTTAATGTCAGTGAAGCTGAGTTATTTAGCCAAAAATTTATCAGGAGGCTGATTGTGCATTGAAGATATCATTGAGTCCAATTGTGAAGATGGTAGTGATTAACACGTTATACATAGTATTAGGTGTGATGTATTACTTTACATACACACTAATTTAGTGTTCATTGAAACATTAAACAGAATGTGTGAAATAAGGAGAAATTTTAAATTGACAAATGTACTAGTCAATCAGATGAACGAAATTTAGGGCGTAAAAGCGAAAAAGTATGTTGTTCTTATAACTGTAACAATGCATGCAAACCAATCACAACAGTTTTATACGCTAAAAAAGGATTTTCACAATCTTTTATTGCACAGCAGATATAAATCAGAGAAGTAAGTTTAGGAGTATATCCACTAAGTAGAGACACATGCTATACTATACTCTAAAGTATTTTTATGTCTAAATTCGTTTTCGGACAATCGGATTATAAAATTGTTTTGGCTTATTCTTTTCACAGACAATTGATAACCAATGCTATAATGTCGTTTCTGAAGTGCTTTGCATTTCTGGTTCTTCAGTGTGTTAGAATTTCCTGGGAGGTTATCTTGAAACGTGTCTTTATCAGAGAAACCTTCTATTCAGAAATCTTGCACATGTTGCAAAGCTTCATGTGAGATGATTTTTCGCCTGGCTGTTGTGGTGTTCTGAAATGGATTTTGACTACGGACTGATGTCAGTTAGAAAGTCACTGGAAACTTTGGAGTAGCAAGACAGCTGTTTTGTCCTAGTTTGGGGTTCTTTTGCTGAGCAAGTCAATAGAATTAGGAGGATAAAGGACGCTGAATTCCCACCCAACGGCAATGCTTTCTCTCTGATACCTGGAATCGAACCCCTGCGAGTTCATACGTACTCACTCCTGTAAATTCGAAAACTACGACGAAACAGCTGTCCATTTTTCTTACTAGTTCTCCAAGTACTGTCAGTCCGTGATGAAAAATACTTTCAAATCAAAACTGGTATGCAGACCAACACTGGAATTACTTGTGACTTTTGCCTATATAATCATTCATGTACACCAGTTACTATCCATTTGTTGTTTTCCTGTAAATTTGATACTATCTTTCTAGTGATGCAATATTTAAGCAGTGTTGGGAGTGGAAATACATGTTAACCATTCCCCTGATTCACGTTTATAGACATAGGGAAAGTCACATATTTTCCTAAACCATGAAAAAATTACTTTGGTCCCTTGTGCAAATGTACATACACTTACTAAAGTAGTGCTAAAACTGAACCGCTTAGTATGCTATGTAATTGTTACATATTCATGTTCTCTACAGGAACTTACTTCTACTGGTCATTAATGAACAAATCTGTGGCACCTACTAACCTACTGATGACTAGGGACAGCCAGTAGGTCTTCATAAAAGAACTAGATAGGTCAGCCTTTCTTTCTTACGCTGCCTTGAAACATGATATTCTACTTAATAATCAAAGTGAGTACTTGCTAAGTTCAGAGTATAAAGACCAAACGACTGGATATTCAGGCTGCATTATGCAATTTTTTGAAATTATTCCTGTTGTAACCCATAACAGTAGTGTAGAATATACACTACTTAAGAAAAATGAGTAATTGTGATTCATTCACTTCACTAATCGACAGTCCACCGTTAGCGGTCACTGCTTATCACGTTTTACTGTTATTAGTTCACTTCATTATCGTTCTCTATCCATGACACATTCACAAAGCACATTCCTATGTAATTCATCATTTCGCTTCGACGCAGCGTTGACTTTCAGCAAACTTTATGCGAAAGATTCACTTTGAGGCTCTTGCAACTTTGATTTACTAACCGCAGAATTAAAGCCAGTTTCTGCCTATTTGCACTTCAAAACTGATGGCATATGCATAAATAGGCTAATATCTACAAGCATCAGTAGATCTCAAACGTACGCACTAGTAATATTTACGATGTGTTTCATTTCTGTCAACTGCCTGCAGCAAATAATCTTTTCACATTCATAGTTTATCCGATTTTGGCTACAAAGGCCGCAGTTTGCGAGTACAGGATTTAGTTTTCTACACATGAATGATAAATAACTGGTGTTAGTGTTAACTGTCCAAATAAACTAGATCTATCCAAATCAACATAGGACTATGCATTACTGCGTAGCGGTCCGAGTTGCAACATCTCATATCAGCACATCAAGTAAAAAAGTAGTGAGGCGCAAGATGAAGAAACCAAATTCAGTCAAAAGAAATATTAAGAACGAAAAGAGATAAATGGAGAATGAGAAAGTGGTGAGATTAGGTATAGCATCGTTAAGTTGAAGATAATGTGTGTATACATTGCACCACTGACATCAGTTATGAGCCATATCACCTAGAGTCTCCAACCACTGGTTCCTCTGGTCCCGTGGACCCCAACCACCTAGTCTGCATCGCCCCACATGGCTTAAACCAACAGTCAGAGACATTAAACACTGTTCTGGTCTGGCCACCTCGAGCCTTTTTCCAGCCTGAACCCACTTCGGCCAACATTGTGTGATGAGGCAATCGGTGACTAGGCATATGTAACACGTGTCCCAACCAGCCATCTCAGTCGATGAAGGTTCATAACCTCGTCAACTGATTTACCTCTTCTCCCCCCCCCCTAAAACTCCACTTCCGACTTCTGCGTTACTCACATGGTGACAACACGGAATACGGCCAACACTACGAAGGCAACAGTGGTCAAACACTTGAAGCCTTTTTATACCTTCCACTTTCAATGGCCATGTTTCACAGCCATACACTAGAACAGACCGACTGCCGTGCAGTACACACAACCCTTAATAGACAATCGGATATCACGGCAGCGCCGTAGGTGGCGTAAGTTGGCAAAAGCCAACCGAGTCTTTTGCATCCTTGTGGAGATTTCATCGGCCACTGAGCCACAAGGGCAGGGATGATCCCACCTCCCAGGTGAGTGAAGTGGCCGACACACTCAACAGCATCACTCTCTATTGTTAGCCACGGCACCGCTGAAGACCAGTCATGGAGCAACAATTTGCATTCGGGTGGTGAGAACCACATCACAAACATTCTCAAATAGTTCAGAAGACTGCATCTTGTCAGCGTTTTCACCTAACAGGACTATGTTATCTGAATATTCTAAGTCTAACGAAAATCCCCCTGAGATTAGGTCAACCTCTGTGTAGTCAGGTGATGAGAGGGAGACCACCATAAGAGTATCCATGATAAAATTGAATAAGAATGGAGAGAGTGGGCATCCTCGATGGACACCACTCGATGGGTATTGCTCCATGGACAACTCACCATAGGCTCTAACACACCCACAAGTGTTCGAGTAGAGAGTCTTCAATAAGGTGATGTACTTACTCGGTACACCTTTCAGTGAGAGACACTGCCATAAGACCTCTTGATCAACGGAGTCGAATGCCGCCACCTTCAGGTCGAGAAATACAACCACTGTTGGGTGTTGGTAAGCATGCCTGTGTTTCAAAACTTGGCGCAGTGTGAATATTTGGTCAATACACTCACGGCCGGATCTAAAGCCTGCCTAGTTTTCTCGGGATTGCTGTTCCCGAGCTCCAGTCAGACGTCGAAGAATTATAGAACCTAGAACCCTAGACACTATGTTCGTCAGGCTGATTCCTCTGTGGTTATCACAAGAGGACTTCTCGCATTTATTGAAGACCGGGATCATCAGTAATTCAGACCAGTCAGAGGGGATCTATTTCACTCCCATATACTGGTTAACACCTTCGATAACCTGACTAAGATCACCTCACCATCATCCTTGTATACCTCAGCAAGTAGTCCGTCTGGTCCTGCCACCCTTCCTCGTTCCAGGTTACATACCACCTTCTCCACTTCTCCCAGTGTTGGGGGACCTATCTCTATGTTCCATTCAGGGCAACGCAATGGTGGTTGGAGGCTAGTTAAACTGCTTCTCGAAGTGTTCTGTCCATTGTTCCAGTCGTCTCCTCTGTCAATGAATCGCAGATCCGTCCTTCTCCTCTATAGTCTCACTAACCGCAGTTGACCTTTTCCCCCCAATCTCCTTAATAAGTATAAATACCTGTCTACTAATACAAATCGCCGCTGCCTTTTCCATCTGTTAGCCTTCGCTGCCCACCACCGTTCGCGGTCATTGGGTAGACTTTTTCTCAATCTACGTGTAAAACTTGGGCACTGTGGTAGAATTTAATTCCATATTAGATTTGTTTATTTGATTTATAAAACACAGTGATCTAGTATTATTTACTTGATGACGTTTCGAGCATAAATTATTGCTCATAATCATATCAAGTAAATAATACTAGATTACTGTGTTTTATAAATCAAATAAGCAAATCTAATATGGAATTTTTCTCAATCTACTTTTAAGTTCTGTTCGTTCTTCATTGTACTCAGAGCCTGAAGGGATGCGTCCACGTTTGCCCATTAGTCCAGAAGAAGCTGCTGACATCCACCGGCTCTTTTTAGCCACTATTTAGGAGTCGGCTACGGTCTTCAACGCTGCTTTTACAGCAGACTGGAGATGGCACCAAGCTTCTTTTGGATGATAGTCTTCTGTTCCAATTACTACCTAGCCAACTTCTCAATGAACTCGGTTTTGGTGTTTTCGTTGTCGAGCTGCACCCGTGATGGTTTTGTTACGAAATTCTTTCTAATCCCATTGAGATGCAGACATATACACGCTCGGACCAATACCTGGTCGCTATCCAAACACCTACACCAGAGAAGCGACAGTCCTCCACCGATCCTCTCCAGCGATGACTAATAGCAATGTGGTCTATCTGTGCCCATCATGGAGTTGAGCTCGGTGGACGCCACGTCAGACAGTATCTTTCTTTATGTCTCAAATTTGTACTGGCTAAAATAGGGGTTATCTGAGCATAGTTGTAGTAGGTGATAACCGTTATCTGATCGTCCAGCCGGGACTCCGAAAGTGCCACCTAAGTGGCTTTTTGCCTCATTCAGTCTACCCAACCTATGCGTTGAAGTCACCTGCA